TTTTGCAACACTTACTATACGAATATTAATCTGATATTTTATGCATAATATTTATGCGCGGTGTCAATTTAATTATATGATACATGTGCGTATAATAGCGGCGCGAAGGATCTCTCATTGCCGCGCTCGTCGTGCATTATTCACTGCGAGTGGCGTAAATTATTCGCGAATAATTAAGGACGTCGTTATCAGCGGTGTTTTTGATACCCGAATTACCACGAGCTGGCCCTGCTTCGTTATCTAAATCTCCTTTGTCGTTAATGAAACCTTCGGGATCAGCCGCGTTCGTCAGCCGCGTTCCAATACGGGACCTGCCGAGACATCTCATTCCTCGCGCAACTTTATTCTCATTATTCACCCGCATTCTTCACCTTATCTCTGAACAAATTCGCCGTGAGACGAGACCCAGAGCAAAGGAGCGCGCACTTAATGGATCGTTTATGGATCAGGGCGTCGTTTCGGCAATCTTTTCCAGACGACGACGTTGCACTCCCCGACAGGGAAATCTCCTGAATACTTTATTGTCCAACATTGTGCCATAATGAGGCGGTCTTTTATCCCGATTAAAAAAGGAACGAGGAGCACGTCAGAGCGTTCCGGGACGGAAGAGCGGAGCGGGAATTATTTATTCCTCCTCCGCCCCCACTCATCTGCCCGTGCACGTCCTTTGCGACAAACCGCCGAAATTTATGCTCGTTGAAAAGACAAATTAAGTCGTCTTTTTTTCTATGCAAATCGGCGGACGTGATCTAGAGAGTATGCAGTTCGTGCCAATTCTTCTTTGTGGTCCGTAATCATAAATAAATTGCTATGACGTGCGATAAAATGATGATATATATGCGATGGAATAATGACATTGCAAATGGGACGAGCGTGAGGAGGACGAGGAAGGAAGCGAGCAAATTGCGACTGTATCGGCAAATTCGACAAACCCAGATCCATCTGTGAATGCAAATATCCGTCTCATTCATGCAGTAACAATGGAGATGGTGATACAAATAAAATTTCTCTACCTATCGTGAAATATCATCCGCTGAACAGCCGACTGACGAAAACAGATGCGTGTCGCAATAGATGCACATATTTGGTCCGAAACTAAAAAAAAAAAATATCCGAAGTTTCGAGGAAAAAGCAAACTACAGCAATCGATATTCTCTTTCTCTCTCTCTCTCTCTCTCCCCCTCCCCCTCCCCCTCCCCCTCCTCCTCCCTCCCTCTTTCCGGCCATTTCTCTCGCGAAACAGAATTTCTCATGCATCCGCGCGGCAACAATGAAGGTAGCGAATCGAATGTTTCGGCTGGTTAACGAAAACAAGTGCTCGCGCGCGCGCGCGTCGTTTCATCTAATTACGGAATCTACGCGATCAGCGGATTCGGATGCAAGGAGTGGGAACTCATCAGCGGGAAAACCGCTGGTATTCTTAATTGAGGCACGGTTAGAGAGGCAGGATCGCGAGCGAGGCTCGCAAATCTGGCGTGGACGGACGGCGGTCGATGTTACGTCTGGCGATGTCGGCAATTAGCGTAACGCAATTTCACCGCTCGCACTCGCGCTCGCGGCCTTCGATCGCGCGGCGCGATCGCGGGTATATACTCCTCCCCCTCCCCCCCCCCCGTGTAAGCTGTAATCGAATCGCGTGTTGCGCCTGTCCAGGGAATCAACGCTATAAACTAATGCTGGCCGTGCCGGAGACGACCAATGCGATTATCCCCGGATCTCTGTAACCGGAAGGCGAGAGCCGTTGAGAATCCGATTAGAGAGTGCTCCGTGTGATCTGCCGGGAACAGGTGTCTTGGAGCGTGATGATTTATAAATGACGACGAAACCGGGCCGAGCGATTCGCGGCGCGTGCAGCTATTATTTGGCGATCGAAGCGGCTTACGCGCGATACCCGATCCCTCGAAGTAATTGATATGATCCCGAATGAATCCCGAGTCTCGTAAGGAGGATTTAAACAGCTTGATCGTCCCGGATCCGCTTGCGGAGCAATACGAGCGCAAAGCTTTCACGCGGAAATGTGACGTACGAGGAACAAAATAAATTTGCGCGCGAAAATTAAGCACGAGGGTGGATCCAATTCGCTGTCAAATTGTCTCATCAGGGCTGGGCTTCTCCTTCCTCACGCAGGCACATTTGCCGCGGTCTCCTGATTATCGGCGGGATGATTTCCCGCGAGGTATAAAAATCAAAACAGCATGCGGAATCCAATATTACGTAGCGCGCATATCTGAGGGCTGCGCCATTCTCGCAGCTGCCGTAGTCGTTGCTAAGAAGATGACGATCGCGCCGCGGTACGAATAATCTCACGGGGAGGAGAGCAACGCGCCGGGAACGGGTTCCCGTTTCGGCTACGATACAAAATTACACGAGCTCTCCGGCAACGGGGCGCGAGATATCGAAGGCGCCGAATCGTGTCGACTTCGGCAATGCGCAATGACCCAGATTTTCGCATTTGCCAATGTACGGGGGGGCGTCGCTCAAAGCTGCCGAAAATCGCCGGGCGACAGGAAGACGACGGAATTTCAAGCATTACTTTTAGTCGGCACGTTTGTGAGCTTTGCGATCGGCACGATACGTCAAAGCGCGAGCCCGCGGTGTGTGCGCATCACGATAGGCGAGAAGGAAGGTGTATCATCTCCACATACACATTTCCCGCGAGCGTGCACCACGCTGTTTCACGCGAGGAAAACACTCGGACATTTGTCGCTCTTCTTCGCGCGTATCCCTCGCTCTTGGTCGCTTCTTGGTGGGATTTACATGTAGTAACGTTCGCACTTTCATCGCGCTATCTTCGCCTTCGCAATCCACCGCCGCTGCCGCCATTATCATCGCCGTTGTCGTCGTCGTCACCGACGCCGTCGCCGCACGAAGAGGCGCTCTTCTCGAGCAAAATTGAAATTTCCACAGTGTGGATATAAACGCGCTCGCGCTCCGTTTGCATATATTTCTGGTATAAAGCTGTGGCGAACGTTTTCAACTCGCCCGCGCATTTCCTAATACGTTAATTTTGTTAATACAATCTTCAGCATTCTGCCGCCGTACCTGCCGCCGTACCTGCCGCGGAACCTGCTGTAGACAGAACGCGCGTAAATATGTGTTTTCTCTTGCGCGATGATTAACGCCATTTGAGGCCGCGTCGAGAAGAATTTTGCGGCTATGGTTAATTAAGAGCGACGAACGAGATCGGCGACGTTTCCGCCGGATACAGACAGCTGAGAAAGAAAGAAAGGAAAAAAAGAGAGAAAGAAAGAAAGAGAGAGAGAGAGAGAGAGTGGGGGGAGGGGGAGGGGGAGGGGTGCCTTCGATAAACCACGGGCAGCCGAAATTTTCAAATCTTAATTGCGGTGAAATGGTGTGTAATGACGTGAAATATTGCCTAGAAAAAGATGCTGACTCTTATTACGGCCGAGCGGGCTCCGTATCTTTTAATCTGAAGCCGCCCGGCCCCGCGCACCTGCAGGAAAATGCTGACCCGACAGTTCCACTGCCAATCTGTTACGGTCGCGAGAGAGTATTTTCGTGTGCGCTTTTTTTATCCTCCTTTGCGCCGCCGCCGTTGCCGCCACCTAACATTGCCGTTTCCTGGCACGCCGACTCGAATGTTCATTCGCGATTCTTTCTCCTCGTTTCTCTTTTCTCTTTTCTTTTCTAACCGTCGTCACCTCACGACGCTTGTTCTCATCCTCGTTTCATCTGTGCGGCCCCGTTCGACTATTTTTATTGCATGGCTTGAAAAGTCAGAGATGATTTGTACAAGTGGTGAAGAAATTCCAAGGACTTGATTAAAATACCGCTGAAGAATGGAAGACGTGATTCGTCTCGCACGGTCTGTGTGCGTCACTTTTTTTCAATCAACAATAAATCTCTCGTACGTCGCATGACGTTCTCGACAGTAAGAAAAAAATCTCGCCCGAGTAAATTAGAATTTATCGACCGATAAAAACCGACCTTCTAACTCGTAATGCATCTCAAAGGGGATGGAAGGAGACGGAAGATTTACGCGTTATCTTTGCTCGCGGAATTCTCGCAGAGGCAACGAAGCCCGGGCTCGCTGCCAATTAAGCGCGGGCGGACTCGTTAGCGGCGAACGAGTCGCGGCTTTATTTTAATCTCAAACAATGGTCAAGAGCTTCGACAGGTACCGCGCGCGCGCGCGCGCGCTGACGCTGTGTTTTATTTCACGCGACACGTCGTTCCGTCGTCGCGCGCCCGGGCTCGCTTTTACACAGCCGTTGGTTAGTATCCTTATTTATTCGCCCGTCATAATTATGACGTCCTCGTCGTGTTTAATGGTACGAATTTCCCTGGGTGAAATGTCGCGTCTACACGGAGCGCGCCGCTGCGCCGCGAAAATTCGTCCGGCAGCGAACATGCAGATGGTAATATCCGCGTTCGACGCATTAATTCGAAAATCACGGGTGGCCGATCAACACCGACACGCCGCGATGTGGAGCGCTTTTATAGCGAAACCGCAGAAATGAAATCAGTGTTATTATATAGTAGCATCGATGGGCAAAAAAGAGGGATTTATAAACGTGTAAAATTTTACAAATGTAATACGCGCAGCGGGATAAAGTAGTGGTTGCGCGCTCTTTTGACGCACTGTCCGCAAGCAATTGCGACACCCTAATAAACGTGACACCGCGATTTTTCTCTTTTTCTCTTTTCTATGACCAACGGCCGTTCTTTCCGAATGACGGAGCCAGCTATCGAGAACAGCTGGTTGTCACTTCCTGTCGCGAGTAAACTCGTCCATGAGACGTTTCGGCGCATCAAATTATCGTCTTTTTCGATTTTCCGGACGATTGTCGAAACAAAAAACATCCGAATGTCGCTTTCATCCCTGTATCTCAATTACCCTGATTGTCCTTACTATGAACTCTACTATGAGCTCTAGAGTTCAGAAGGTCGTGCGGAACGCGCGCGGTGCGCACGGCAGGGCCGTAGCGCGTCGTAGTGAACGCGGAAAGGCGCATGCGTTGAGTTCAGGAGCGGTCGTCAGTCGTCGGCGGAAGCTGAAACGCGCGGCTTCGGGATTGTCGCAACACAACACGGTGACGTAGCCTACGGCGTAACAACACCGACGCAGGAGTGTACATTTTGCACGCGCCAATTACCGACGAGGAGGACCGACGGCGGTTTCGAGCTCGCGACAACTCCCGTCCGCGCGACGAAACGGACAGGATAATGTCGGGATGCGGATGTCGGATGAATGTTTTCTAATCGCGCAGTGCCCTACATAAAGACACTGAATACCGGACTTCAGGATAAAGCTCGTAGGCGCTTGACGGATGAGGAGCGCTACGTACTGAGGTAGGTGAGCGTCTCTCAAAAGCCAAGCGAAACGAAATGTCAATTTAGTCGAGGAATTCGTAAATATAACAAGATCAAGCATGAGACGAATCTGATAATCGATTTCTCTTACTGATCTCATTGACTTTACGGTACCAAAAGTTATTAGCGTTTTCCTTAATTAAAAATAATTGTGTCAAGCTGCCTTATGTATAAAACTTGTCGGGATGCTGATTGATATTGCAAATATTCGGCTTACTTCAACGAGTCTATTAACGAGAAAGAATTAACTTACACCTTCGCACTTTATAGTCGCTCTGTGATAAAAAAAGGAAATTGAATGCACAAAATACCACTTTTCCCCGATGAATTTTCCGCCGCTTTTTTGAGATATTTTGCACCGGTAACATCGTGTATTTAATATTTTCGTCAAACATAGCGCGGCATAGCCAGCGGCACCTGTTCTCGCGCGCTGCACGTAACAACCTTCGTATTTGCGTACGTAACACCGATGTGAACGATTAGATAGAAATCGTGAACAAAGATCACGACGATACGAAACAAGCGTGATCAGAGTGTAGATCAGGGTTATCAGTTTATATGATAATCGGCGGCCATGGTATTTTATTTAATGAACCTGGCAGAATATTAATTATTGCCGAACGTGTCTAAATCCGCCGTTTTTCTGGCGATAAGCTACCGGCCTTTGATATTTTTCGATAAGTTCATCACGATCGATAAACGCGAAATCGTCTACAACGAAGGTTACGACAGAAACTTTCTACAATCTAATGACATTTTCTGTCAAACGTTCTGCGCGTTTCTCGAAAAATGTGTCTGTTGTTGTTTGTTCCATCCACTTGTTTCAAGGACAGACAATTGAAAAAGATTAAAAATCGATTCAACGACGTAACACGTTATAGGCATTTCATCGCAAACTCCAATTTCGTCGTGAGATTCAGTCGCATTGTTATTTAATTGAAACTTTGTGACATTGTAGGAAATATTGTCAAAGATCACCATTTAGACAAAGATCGTAGTATTGAGCTTTGCCTACTGCATTGTGTCGCCGTGAGTATCGGGCATATCTGAAATCTAATCAGCCTAGTCGATTTCCTGATGTATGAATTGCGGTAGCGGCAACTACTGCCCGCCGTGAGATACGTCCGGCCATAGTCGCGACGTAACTACTGTGCGCGCCCGGCATCTCTAGACATATAAATTCTCACTTCTCAACTCAACAAGTTTACTTCTACCTTCTGAAATTTGCAAAGCATTCCTACCTACCCGCGTACATTTCCGTGATAGTGCGTGTATAACGCAGCTAATTAAAATGAAGTAAACGCGACATTCTTCGTCCATTTAAAGAGCATCCGGGCATTGTTCCTGTGTTACCTGTTATTTATTAACAAACGCAACAATTGAGATAATACATATTCTTTGTTTCATTCTTTCGTGATTTTGTGAAGATACATTTTGTACATGATGTATATTTTTACACATTTTATGTATAATGTATAATTTTCCAAGATAAATTACATACTCCGTATTATATACGGAGACATTGTATTCATATTTAGTTTATATATTATTATATTCGGGTTTATATATTCACAGCCAACATTCCTATTAATGCTAAATTCCGTTAAATTGCGACCCAAAATTTGTGGACTAATGAAATTACAATTTGAGTTAGAGCGAACCAGGCCAATCCGTAACAATTAATTATATTAATAACTAGAGATACACACAATAACGCATAAGGTATGTGATGACTGCCTCAATTATTCGTGTACTTGCAATATTAACAGAACAATTATTAGTCATCGACATTATTAATTACGTGATTAGAATAACTATGCAAATGCAAATGAGGTAATTAACTACAACTCGTCGCAAATAATATTATAGCAAAATATCATAACAATTTCCCGTTGGATTAAAATCCGTCGTGATTATTAAAACATCCCTAAGGAGATTACTTAAAGAGACGCAACAAGCTCTTGAAAGGACTAAGCGCTTTAAAGGATTAATTTTGCGGCTTATAATTGGTTACAGCGCTGCGATTTCCACATATACGGGCCTCTACATATGTTTGTTTTGCTCGTCATGCGCTTTGCCGGATTTGTTGCGACACCTCAATTGCAGGCTAATGCAAACTTTATAACCGGCTACCGTCAATTATGTAAATCCAACGACATCCGATTATTTCATTCACGATGTTTACATCGGGATGAGAGATATTACATTTACGTTGTATAAAATTATGCAGCTCGCGGTAGCGTAAACAGATTGCATCAATCTTCTCCCGAATCGGTGCAACGAACGTCGCACGGTCACGAATTCGGGCGATCAAGTTAGCTTACGCGCAACCTCAGTCACATTAGTCACGAACGGGACATTAAAACGGTGTGTTACTTAAACTTGACTTTATTCGGCCGACTTGTAGCTGATAAATTAAATATTAATGGCGCAGATCTCAACAGAGTTTCTAGAGTTCAAGAGTTACGGTGAAATGCTGAAACACAGTCGGAGAAGGAGAATTCTATAAAAGCATTGTGAGCCACGCAAGAGAACCTTACCTCTCGCAAGAGCAGCCGGACGTTCTTTATTCGGCTGCATAAAGAAGCAGCCGTGACACATTATTCGCGCTAGTCTAGTCGTTCAATTTAATAACGTCCGTCTGACACTCTATACCTATACTATGACCGGATTTCTATTCTGCAAGTTGCAGGAGCGAGAAGAGGATAAAGTTCACCGTCCACAACTTTCCACCAGCGAACATCCCGCTCGTCTTTCCATTAATCCGCGGATACGCGTATAAAGCTCGAAGGCCGTAACACGCCTCCGGGATATATTACCGAACTGTCAGCGTGACGTGACGGGCTCTTAACTGCACCGTTGATAGCGCGAGTACTCGCTGAATATTACGAAAACATCATTCGTTCGTTAACACATCGCACACAGCGCGGAAAAGTGAAATACCTTTTCCTTGGCCGTATCTCGTCTTGCCATGCTTTTAATTAAGCTCCTCGCGAAAAGTTTCGCCAAGAGGATTGTAAATTTTCCACCGTAGAACATAAAATGTGCACTGAGTGAGCACTTTCCACTCGGTATTATTTGAGACGTATCTCGGAAAAGTATGTGTAATTCTCTAATGCCCGCGAAAGTGTTTATATTCGCGACTAATTGCCGCATTAATTCGCATTAATTCACGTCAAATCGCGATTCCGGTGTAACAGTCGGTCGATCGATTTGTTGATAAACTGCGCCGGATATTCGCCGAGAACGTGAATAATAAACGAGTCGACAAGCCACAAACCCCTCTCCATTCTCCGTTCTTCCCGGCGGCGACGCGTCGCCCCTGAACGTAACGAAAGGTCGGCGCACGACGTCGATCCTCCGGAGAAGCTTGGGACACTCGTGGAAGAAGGCCCCCGATGGCGGCGGAACCAGCGCGTGGTCACGCGATTCCGCTCTCTCGCGAATCTCTCTTCGCGCAACTTTTTCCCAGTCGGAATCAGCCGCGCGCGCGGGGTCGCAGAGGCAGAAGGGGTGAGAGGGGCGAAAGGGCGCAGCTGGTATCTAGGGGGCGAGAAGAATTTGAATAAAACCTGCGGCGAATAGGGCTTTGCCTTATCCCACTCGCTCCCGCGTCTCTCCCCATCGGAGAGACATGCAAGTTCCGCGGTGGGAACTCGTAAAAAGCCACGGGCGCGGTCAGACCCCGCGCCGCAGTCTCTCGACATCCCGACATCTGCGGACCGAATGGTCGATCCTCCTTTCCGCCCTCTTTTTCCTCCCGTTTCTCGCCGCTTTTATTCCCCGGCACGGCGAACTCGGCGGTCCCGGCTATTTGCGAAACGCTCGCGATTTGCGGCCTCTCCTCCTCGTGCTTGTCCTCGTCCTCGTCCTCGACACGCCACTCGCGCGGGGAATATTCTATTTGTCCTCGCGTCGCCCGGTATCATCCGGAGTCGTTAAGAGCCATTTCACCGGCACACGACGTTATTCTCTCTCCGTCATTACGCGAATGCGGAACGCAACACACCCACCGGAGGCGATTATGCGTTTTACCTGAGACAAAAGGGTAGATTTGAAGGGACGGATGTTGCCGCGAACGGGAGGGGAGGTAAGCTCGAGCCGAAGCGAGTTTAATGCAGCCGGCGCGCTTTCGAAGGAAGCGTTTAATAGCGTTCACATATACGCCGCATTGTCGCCGCGGAGATTCTCCGGAGGAGAAGAGCGAGTAACAGCAAGCGTCTTTTGTAATTATCGATATCGCCTCGCGATACTCAAGTCCCCCGTAATTTCACCGGAACTGCGCTGCATTTGCACCACGTACGTACACTCGTGAACTAAAAGGTATGTGCACCGATTTTTTGTTGACTTCGGAACGCGCTCCAACTTGAGGAGAAAGACAACCACTGCTTCTTCATAGCGTCAGCGCTGTCACTTATTACGAGAGTAGAAAGATGGCATGTACGAGTGTCAAATGAGTAGTGATTGTGGCGTAGACACAAATGTCTTGGAGACTTTGAGTTATGATTGAAGAAATGAAGAAAACAAATAGTGATTGTGAAGAGAAGTGACAAAAGGCTTCATAAAATTTGTAAAACAGCATATTAAAGGAAAGTATTAATTGTCTAATAATAATTTAAGTAAAAAATATTTTTAAATTTGAGTGTAAGTTAAAAAAGTTATAAACCATAATTTCTTTAATGTTAATAAATTTGTCATCGACGTTGAATGAATATATATAATGCTATTATTTCCATAGGTGAGGAATTATATTATTGTGTTCAGCAGAAGTAAGCAGCAGACCAAGTTGAGTGATATGAGTATCTTGTTAAAAAAATATCACTCGACTTGGTCTGCTGCTTATTTTTTATGAGCGATAACATAATTTTCCACCTATGTAAATGACAGCATTACATACGTATTCATTGAACGTCGATGGCAAATTTATAGCAATAAAATTATTAACATTAAAGAAATTATGGTTTATAACTTTTTTAACT